TTCAACCAAGATGATTTGTCCTTTATACGTGCATTTGAAAATCTGTCAGGTATGTTAAAATATTATTCAATAGTTATTCTAAAAACTGAAAATCTGGCTTTATTGTTCACATGTATTCTCTCTCTTGAAGTCATGGGACAGAAGTTGTATGTGAGGCTTTTTCAGAGGAAACTGAAGTGGCTCCAAGTAAATAAGCTGGATTATGAAGAGATATGCAGCGATCTTGGAGCCATTTCACAGGAACTGGTTCAAAGTGGTTTTCTGGAGACAGGTAAATGTGTAAAAAATTTTATGTCTCCTTTTGTTACTGTCATTTTGTTACCGTTCGATATTCATGTTTTTCCAATTATGTTATTAATATGACTGCACTGATCACATTTAGCTATTATGTTGGCATCATGTTAATGGTTGAAGCTAGGAAATACAGTAAAATGTTTGGAATAAACATCAAATTACATCAATGAATAAACATCACCAAATTTTCTCTAATAATGTCCACGTCTGATGTTTTTACCTCTCAAAGAGAATGACCTTGAAGACTTGGGTGAGGCTCTGGATCTCCTGCCGGCTCCTGAACTCAAAGCTTTGGCTAAGACTTTCCACCTGGGCAATTCAGCGACCCAAAAACAGCAGGTAGTGGACGGGCTGCTCCGCCTTAGCAAGCAAAAGTCTCTTTTCACTCTGACCACTGCACAAAACAGTGTCGGAGCAGTGATTCTTAAACGGTAAGATAATTATTTACGTTATGTTTTTTTAGTACCAGTATTGCAGTGGTGGTCACACCCCATCCTGTCTTTAAAGGGCTAAGCAGCTTGCAGGTTCCTGTGTCCGTCTCTGTCGGGGTCCTCGGGCTGTCTTCTCTCGTGTTCTCCTGCTCTTCTCTCTGACGGACACCATGGAAGAAGAGGAGATGGCAGCTGGAGGACAGAGCCAGCTTTATACCATCCTTTTGGTAAACTCAGGTCGTCTGGCCTTCCCAGACTATACAGTACAGCGTGTAGCCAAGGTTTTTCAGGATAGAGAGGACCTTATCAGGTAAGGTTCTACCAAAAGATCTATAATGACTTTCTTATGTTTTATCAAGCAGGATAGGCACAAATAAGTACTAATAATGGCATGCATCACACCAGATATGAAGCTTCCATGCGAGCACTGCAAGAGGTGATCCTGGCTATGCAGGGTGGTCAGTGGGAGACGGCCATGGGGCTCTATGCTGCAGCCAAAAGTCAATGGCTAGTGCTGAAGAAAAACAATGACCTCAGGTGCGAAATCTTAAACATTTGCTTCAGTGTTTCCAAAAACAGTCAGTTGTGACTGATAACAATATGATTTGTTTGCAGTCATCAGGAAAAGCTGCCTGTGTTTCTGCGCTGCTTCACTGCAGGATGGGCTTACACTCGAATTTTATCCAGAGGGGTCGAGATTTTGCAAAGACTCCGTCGCTATGAGGTTTTCTGAACCTGTCCATTCACCGTCTAACACAAATTTAAGTGCTTGTTCATGTCATTGTTGTTGAAGATCCCATGGGTCTTCTGTTCATGTTACAGGAAGCAGTTGAAGAGCTGCGGTCTTTGCTGTTGCAGTTCGTTTACTGTCCTGACAGCCGCGGGCGATGGTGGGACAGACTGGCACTAAACCTTCACCAGCACCTCAAAAGTCCTGAGCAAGTCTGCACCCTTTCTCTGTTCTCATTCATGTCCTACTGAGACAGTCTGATTTAATTTTTTGTCAGATGTCTTGTGTTAATCTTTCAATTGTTGGACTGTGTTCTTTACCTGTCAGGCTATCTGTGCTATTAGAGATGGGCTGTCAGACCCTTTGGTGCGTACAGGACATAAACTCGCGCTGCATCACAGAGCTGTTAGAATGAAAGAGTCTGCCAGCTGCAAGAAGTACCGCCTGCAACTGAGAGACCTGCCCACTGTCCAAGTACAAGATGTCAAGCATGTACGTTTTTCACAGTGTCAGTGTGTGGGTTTCAAAATGGAACAGCTTAGTTTTTTAGCTCACCTAAAAGATGCTTTTGTGTGTGTCTGTGTGTTTGTTTGTTTGTTGTTACATCTGACTGCAGGTGACTATTCGAGGACAGCTGTTTCCTCATGAGGGAGGCATGGGAAAGTCTAAATTTCTTTTACCAGCAAATGAAGAGGGCGCTCATTCCACTGTAATATGCTCTGTAGAGGAGCTGTCCTTGGCGCATTACAGACAGCAAGGTTTTGACCAAGGTAAACAACTTTTTTTCTCCTGTAAAAATGTATAGATACAAACAGAAACAGTAGGTTTTTTTGTTTTTTCTTTTGTTTAAGTATTATTATTATTATTATTATTATTATTATTATTATTATCAGGGATCCATGGAGAGGGTTCAACATTCTCAACACTGTTTGCTCTCCTGCTGTGGGACATCATTTTCATGGACAGTATTCCAGATGTCTTCCGAAACCCATACCAGGTAAAGAAAGGTCTATACGTGTTTATCTGAATATGTATGAAACTCTAGAGCTCACGTTTGTTTTCCCTTACAGACGTGTCCGCTGGATTTTTACACCGACTGCTTTTATGAAAACAGAAAGGATGCAATCGAGTCTCGTGTCCAGTTACTTTGTGAGGCGTCTGTGGAAACTCTGCAAAATATGTTGGAAGATGTCTGGAATTCCCAGGAGGGAAAAGTCTGTTCGTTGGTGAGCTGGGAACGTTTCTCATCCCTTCAGCAAGCGCAGGTACTTAAGGTTTTAAAAGTACATGTTGAGTGCTGTCAGTATACAGTGTTTCTCACATTATGTGTCAGCGCAGTGGGGCAGATGAGGACACATTTTCCTCAAACACACTCTAATAATTGTCTCACCTCATTACCAAGTTTGGAGCATCCTTCATTGACAGATTAGCAAGTAGACTCTTGCTTTGGAGCCATGCTGGTGTAATACATTTAGAATGGGGTTTGAAACTTTCTTGTGAAGCATTCAATGAATCTGTATGAACTGATAATAGAAAAATAAGAAACAAGAAAAGGTCAGTAAACGTGCCCTTGTCCTGGATTTTTTTCTTTTTTGATGGCGTTGCTGGCATCCAGTTGAAGAAGACCATGTGTTTTTTTCTTTGTACTGTTTTCATTGTTTTTTTGTTTTTATTTATATTTTACACAATGTGGTTTTTTTGGGGGGGGATGTAAGTTTCTACATTTCTTACTGTAGGTACCAACATGATACTGATGTGCAATTAGATGCTGATTTTCTTTTCTTTTTTCTCTCCCCAGTCTCTTGTTGCATGCCTGGGTGGAGCCTTTCTAGGTGGAGTAATAGCACGAATGGCAAAAGACTACAGGCACTGCCGTGGAGGTTTGCCCGATCTTGTGGTGTGGAACAGCTCAAACAACAGCTACAAGGTGAGATCACCTGCCATCCTGGCTTGTTTTGTTCTCTGTTTTTTATGGAATCAGGAGATTTTTGGTGCCCAGTAGTTTAAACTCTTGTGATGTCATGTGATTGTAGCTGGTGGAGGTGAAGGGGCCCAATGACCGACTGTCTCACAAGCAACAGATCTGGCTGGATGAGCTGCAGAAACTTGGGGCCGATGTGGAGGTGTGTCACGTGACTGCTACTGGAGCCAGAGGAGCTCGTCTGGAATAAACGGACACAGAGAAATTGACTGATAAGACTTGTGCTGCTAATAAATCAGACTGCGGTCAAAAAGAAAACATCCGCAATCGGACATGCTGGGAAAAAAACATCCTGTTTGATCAACCTATAGAGAATGGTGTAAATCTTGATTTCAAAATCTATAAAATTTCACCTTTCTATGTAGGAGGAGGTTAATGTGCTTTGTTTTGTATGGCATTATCATCTGGTCTTCAACAGGAAGTCGTGCACTATGTGATGAGGATCATCGTTAACAGCTTCCAGGATCAAAAATTGCAACTGATGCATGACAGTAAATAGATCCAGCCACTACACTAATATAATGGTGTTTCCTTTTTGGGACATCCTGTAATCACAGGATTGTGTGTTGCCATGCAACCAAGACTCACATTTTCTTGGCTGCTTGTAAATTACATGACAGCTCTATGAGTTTGTTATGCAATTAAACACTGTGATAATATGCCTATAAATAAGCTTTTTGCCAGTAAGCATCGGGTAATCAAAGATATCAGCTGGGTGCAAAAGAAGAAGTCATAGGGCTACTTTTAATCAGAGTATTTTAGGGCAGAACTGAAGGAAATTTTTAGTCAGCCCAAAAAAATCTGCTTCCTTTTTAAATGCTGTATAAAAAATAATAATAATAAAGAAAGAAAAAAATCTTGAAACAGATTTTCTGTTAATAAGCTAAGACTCTGCCTCAGCATGTTCATTTCAAACTTTGACATTGCCGTAAATCAGTTATTAACAATAAAAGTGTATCATAGTTGATAAACTACCCCTCCACAGTGGCTCCGTACCCTGCCAAGAAAAGTGGTCATGCTTAATGCCGTGTACAGTCATCCTCCCAAAGGCCCATTATTTCTTTTTTAAATTATCAGTCAATCTGTGGTTTGCTTTCTCTATTAACTTAGTAAGTGTTCAGTCTGAATTGGTTCCCTGATGCTAAGATGACAAAATCGTATTACTGGTATGATGTGACTCAGTCACTTTACTGTAAGACTCATCTCAGAACAAGAACACTGAGAAAAAAACACCACCACTGACAGATGACTCTACATCAGGTATGAGAAGAGTCCGTGAATCCAGAATAATCTGAATCTGGATCAGTGATATTTTGAGAAATGATGAAATAATTGAGCAGTTAAGTAGTTATGCTGAGAAAAACTGTAGAATTTTCATGTTTATTGATGTGTGCATATATTTATATATTACACACATGCAGACAGAGAGGGATACGTATGACACTAGATCCCAGGCACACTGAGTGTTGTAATGTATGCAGGCCTGGTGGATCATGGACGCTTCTGGGGGAAGGGATGCCAGGCTATCCTGCGTCTGACGTCACGGCGCTGGAGAGAGGGAGAGGAGGCGATGTGAGGAAGCTGCAATAAACACACAGGGCGTCTGCGCCTATCTAAGTAGGACAATAAAGTGAAAACGGCATCAATGCTCTAACAATGGATTTGTCACATACCCTTCTCCTTAAAGTTTTCCTCTTCGTGTACTTGCTAAACTACACCCAAGGTGAGTGAGGCGGTTTCTGTCGGAGCAAATCGAGTTGTGTTGAATCCATGAAGCAGCGAGCGGAGAGGAGCAGAAATCCCGATAGCCTGCTAGCTACAGAAGGGATCAGCAGGGCCTGCTTGTTATGAAGAGGACTGCACCCTTTTTGCCGTATTACTTCAAGGCGACAATTCACACATAGCTTAAAGGCGGACTCGGATTCGCGCAGTCGATTGAAATAAACGGACATTGGGGAGTTACGTCCGTGTGTTGTCACCGTTTTTTATCGCCAGCTTTTGGGTGAGGGTTTTGTTGTTACCGTGCGAGCGGCGCCGACAGCCATTGTTATGAGAAGATGGAGATGCCGACTGTTAAAGCAGCGTTAGCTCTGAGCTAGCTGCCACTTTAGCCGCTAATTGTTCTGTCATTATTAAAAAAACAACAACAACAGTTTAGCCCCGAAAATAACCTGTGTTCAGTGTAAAAGACACAAGTTTTCGCATTTTGCTGGCATAATTTTGTCTGCAGTTTTGCTCCCTGTCAGTGGTGTTTTAAGTCAAATCAACCTGCAGTCAGTATTTTAATAAAAATAGTTTTTGTGTGTGTCTATGTGCGTGTGGGTGCCAAATTGCTCTGTGTAAAATGCAGTATTGACGTGTAATGCACTTCTGCTATCCTACCACTATCTGCTATATGCCGATGCTGTGCTTTTAAATCCTAATGTTCTCAGCTAAATATAGGAGTCATATACACAGATACATATACAATTACACAGTGGTTTTTGCTTGCAATGCTTCTTTTATTAATCTAATCTAGTCTAAACTACAGGAAATCCTTCATGCCTAACACCACAATACTTCTTTTTATTTATTACAATGTACTCAAGCTATTCATTCACATACCTGGATTTCAGCTTGATTTCTTTTTTCTAATTTTTACTTTCTGATTCAGTATTATTATTTTTTGACCTATGTTGTTTTTGGCTACTGTAACACAGCAGTTTTCCCAACTTTTAAGATAAATTAAGTCCAACTTGTCTCATATTTTCCTATATTTAATGTTTCTCTTTGATTAGTGTTTTTGAAGTGTATCAATCTTGGCTCCTCACATTTTCTTTATGTTTTGTAAGTCTTTAGAAATTAATTTATTTCAGAGATATAGTCATGGCCTTCACTTCTCATAGTCACCTCAATGAAAAATTTAATGTTACCACCTAAATATTTCATACCGCACATGAAAAGGGAAGTAGCTGAAGCCTGGTCTACTTATCCATCTTTGTTATAATGTTGCACAGAATCCTGTAATTTATGGCTCACTAGTCAGGCATAATTACCTGCCAGAGAAGCCTAATTACATGGACTCTGTTTACTAAAAAAGCTTCTCTCTCTTTTTTTTTTATATGGAGCAGCGATCTGACCTTACACTGAGGAAAGTGGTGTATATGTATGTGGAAAACATGCCAACATTCATTGGGGGAATAGATGCCATAAACAAAATCAATCTAGAAAAACCCATTTTTGTTTCAGTGTGAAACAGTGGGCAAAATGTGTGGAGACGGTTAAGAATTGCTTTCTTTCAAGCCCACTACCCAGCCTTCTGGTGACGAAATAATTAAGCGGTGACGCTGTGGGCTGTCGTTGAGAGTTAGTCTAAGGCTGCCATTCATTTGGCTTAAATAGATTTTAGTTAAAACCCAGAACATACTGATTTGCTGTCTGTTTCCTGTATTGTAATCCTGCCTGTCAAATATTGTCCAGATTATCCGCCTTACGGGCATCTAAACCACCCTAACATGAGCAGTGCGTCAGTTGTGTACAAATGTAGCTTTTGTACATATTCTTTTGAGTCTTTCTGTTAGGAATAGTTTGTGTTACCAACTAGAATCGCATCCCAGTTTCTAATGAGTAGGGAACGTGTTTTTTCTTTTTTCAATTGCCGCTGTATGTATATATTTGAGGGGGGGGGAAACAAACACACATACCTTTCTTTAACAGATGTTCCTTCGTTCTTTTCACACAGGACACTATAGAAATCCCCTGAACAAGTACATCCGCCACTATGAAGGCCTGTCCTATGACACAGAGCTTGTGCACAGCAAGCATCAGAGGGCCAAGAGGGCACTCTCTCATGAAGACAAGTACCTGCATTTAGATTTTCATGCCCATGGAAGGTTCGTGCACTTTCTTTTCCTAGATATTATCCAAAGGTAAAGTCTGTCTGCATCTGTTTTTCTTTTTTTCCCCTTTCTCTTCATGTATCTTTATTCATTTGTCTGTTTATTCATTTGCAAACACCGTCCCGTGTACTTGTGCTGTTTATGATTAAAGTTGGAGGTCTTCTGTGTTGGGGGATTTGCAATTTTATTGAAAGTTGTTTTACAAAATCAAAAACATACGCTGGTGCATCATGTTAGGTCAGTGTTCAGGATGGATTTTTAATGATCACAATTATTTTCTGTGTGGGTTTTCTGCTCTCCCCTGGAGCTTCCGTATTCCTTGATTGGTTGAATTAACCGGCAACTACTCTAATGTTTGTTTAATTGCTTAAACTAACTGTGTTGGTGGGATAGAAATGGGCTATTTAAAGACACAAACCTGAGCTCAAAATAATTGCTGTTGTCCAGGTGTTCTTATTCCCTGCAGTTAAAGTGAAACTGTGCATGTATTTGTCTGCGTTCGTTAGCTCTGTGATGTATGTGGTGTTTCATGCTGCCTGAGTGGAAACCCCTCCAAATATCGTATATGGGTTGATACTAATCGTCCTTGTCATGGTTCTTTATCTAATATTTCGAGGAGGTGGTGTTGTGAAAAAGCATCCATGACAAAGTCACGACCATCTGGCTGGGATCTTGGCAAAGGCAGTTCGTTGCCCTTCTTGTAACAGGGCCTGCTGTTTCTAAACTCAGATGCAGCTTAATAGGGAAGCGTATCATAAGAGCAAGGCGAACTCCGAAGGAAGATGTCTCTTCCTTTAAAAAAAACCCGCATCATATTCTTTTCCTTTTGAATTTACGACAAAGCTAGAGAGAGAACTCCTGATTCTTCTGTTTAATTTGCAGCACACCACCTGGCTTTCCTTTTTGACATTTGAACAAAATGTCTTGTGCTTTACACTAACAGCCACTAATAGTACAGTGAGGATGCTTTTAGATTCATATGCAGTATAAGGTTTGCCTCTAAAACGCCACCAGTTCTTAGGTTTTTAGTTCAAAGTGCTGGGGCAGTAGTTTCCTTCACACAACTTTGAGAATTGCCCTATTTTTCTGTAAATTATGGCTCTCTGTGTTATTTTCTCATGGAATCCCAGACTGAGTCCACGTTGATGTTGTGATCACAGTGTGGGAGCTTTACCATCTGTTGCAAGACTCCTTGTTCTTGTCGCCAAAGAGCGGACTTTGACTCTTGTTGGGGTTTTTTGGGCCCATTGCCATCCTACAGAATAAAGATTTTGGACCTCTCACATGCCTCCTTAATAGGATTGAGCAGTGGATAACATCCAGAGAGCCTAAAACCTTTGCAGAGTTCTCTATGTATCTGAAACAGCCAATAAACATGTTAATGTACTGCAGAGTTTTCCCCTGAGATTCCTACAAATGCCTAGTGATTCACTAGGCATTGTGCACATTGCAGGATGTATTGTTTGCTATTATATTAGGCTTCAGATCTAAATTTTACAAAGGCTTTGTGTTTCGTCTGTTCACGGACCTAGAGAACAGCAACTTTCACACAATGCGAGCGTACAATAAGAGCACTGTGTAGGTGTTCCATGAAATCCGAGGTTTACTGTAACATGTTTTTTTCCCTCTCCATATGTTTGAACTACAAAAAAACACAGCACTGTTGCTAGATGCCCTAATTTCAAATTTTCTGTTTGGTCTCTTACAAATTTAAATGCTACAGTTTTGCATCTGCAGCAGAAAACTGCGTATTTGGTGGGTTTTTTTAATTTTGTTTTTCTCTGTGAACGCTCTTGCTTCGACCCCACCCCCCCTTTTAATTTGCAGGTTCATTTTTAGAGAAGGCTGGGTAAATGTTGCTTACTTCCACTACTTAAGGCCAACTGCAGCTCCTCTCCTGAATCTGAAGGCCTTCTTTTTTATCTCTTTGATTTCAGGCACTTTAATTTACGAATGAAGAGAGATACCACCTTGTTTTCCCCAGATTTGAAGGTAGATGTTTCAGGTGAAGAGATTCCATATGATACCTCTCACATCTACACTGGAGAAATCTTTGGTAAGACTATAAATTTTTCACAGTTGTTTAAATGTGTCACTACAGTACTGCTGCTCTAGGGGATTTTTCAAATAACTGTTGGCTTTGTTTTTCTCAAATGCAAATGCACCCTCTTCTGTGTCAATCTTCTGATGCTTATAATTGTACGATTTGGACTCCCAGGCGAGAAAGGCACATTGACTCATGGCTCCATTGTGGATGGTAAATTTGAGGGTTTTATTCAGAGCTACCATGGCACTTACTACGTGGAGCCTGCGGAGAGATACCTTGAGGACAAAGACGTGCCCTTCCACTCTGTCATCTACCATGAAGATGACATACGTGAGTCCCTGCACCTTTAGCCACGCAAATACTTTGACAGGCTATTATCCCGTGATCATCGAGTGTGTGTTTAGATATGTGCGTGTGTGACTGGAAAGTGCGAGGTTAGTGCTGCCGAGCTGATGGAGGCAGACTGGTGTGATAGGCCCCCCTGGGGAGCGCAGACACCTGGGGTGTTCATTAGCTGAGTAACACAATCTTGCTCTTGGGTACTGGCTCATTTCAGCAGGCTTTGCAATGTTGATACTAATAGTGAGCACCAAGTACACTTCACTACACTTGCAAATCATAATTTCACATCATCTGTGTACACATAGCGTGTGGCTGAGGGGCAAATTAAACATAATTGTGAGAGGAATCACTAATGAGAGCGACAGGAAAGTAACTCACACAGCAAAGCTAGGCTCAAGTGACGTGTAAGTACTTCCATTAGCTGATCGTGAATAGCGCCTGAAATAGTGACTCACGGGGTTAAGTAGCTAACATTGTCTCCCATAATCCTAATAGTGTTGTGTCTGTCTCTCTCATACAGACTACCCGCACAAGTATGGCCCAGAGGGAGGCTGTGCCGATAGCTCTGTGTTTGAAAAGATGAAGAAATACCAAACCTCTGCCGTGGAGCAGCCCCCTAAGGTTAACTTCACCACACACTACAATAAACCCTGACAGGGTTTAGTGAAGATCTTTGAGGATATTTTATGGTACTACTTAGTCAGGGTCAAAGATACCTAGAGATGTCTTTTTAAAGTCTCTGTGCCTGGTTCTATGTTGTAAGTTATAACCATGTAAGTGTTAAACCAGTATAGTCACAGTTAAGATTTGTCACTTTATTATTAATATGTAATTTTTTTTTAATATAGTTTTGCATATGATTGTTATTTCACAGATTTCCATAAATTGTATTACGACACGGTTTAGTTTGGCCAGACGATCATCTGTATAAAAGTTCACCCGTTCATTTGTTACCGTTGTAGAGGAGTGGGAGCAGGATTACTCAAAAAGTTAAAGATTTAACTGCATGAAAGATTTTCCAGATTTCAGGCTTGGCCCACATTGCAGAGATGAATCATTCTTGGAGTCAGTTCAGATCTCAATCCAGGAAATTTTGGGGAAAGATTCTTTATCACTGCAAGATGGGCACAGTTAGACATTTCATCATATCTTCACAGATCAAGTTTAGCGTCGCGTTTGCGACACTAAACTTCAGATTTAGACATCCTTTTGGATTCAGAAATATGGAAAGCAGCATCTAAGCCTCACGTGTATTATTATCACATTCAAGTGATGGACTGAAACAGGATGACATAATGTTCAATTTGGTACCTGACAATAAAATGTAACACTTTATCTCAAGCTGTGCCTCTTAGCTCCAATCCAATCAGAGATAGTAGGCAGTAATAAAATATGTCTGTGTTTAATTTAAACCACGTTAACAAAAAGCATTAGTTTGATTTATCGGTTACTTCTGACTCACATGTCACTGCAAAACTCTGTGACCGAAAAGTACTGAACACCTTAAAACTGAGATAGGTGTCCATCAGTGGCAGTGGTCAGCCTTTTCCCTCCACCCTGTATGTGACATAGAAAGCACATATTCCTCTGCAGAATAGAGCTTCATGAACATACTGCAGCTGAAGAACCACAGCCTAAAAATACCGGACATTATTTATTTACTCTTTTTACCGTTTTTGTTGGAAAAATCCTTTAAATATGTTTTATTTAACTGTGTGTTTCCTGCTCTGCCTCTTCCGTCTCACTCACACCAGGAAGTCCACACTGATCTGGACACCCAGCTGCTGAGGAAGAAGAGGATGGCCCAGGCTGAGAAAAACACATGTCAGCTTTTTATTCAGACCGACCACCTCTTCTTCAAGTATTACAAGAGTAGAGAAGCTGTCATAGCGCAGGTAACGCACAGGAAGTGACTTGGTATATACTACTCTTAATACTTTCTAAAGCCTAGGAATATATTGATAAGAGAAATTGTCCACAAAGTACAATTTCTATGGAGTTGCGTTACGGTGTAGGAATTGTCATATTTTGGCAAATCTATTATCATTTTCTGGGGAGAGTTATACTAAGACATTAGCACCACTCAAGCACTACCCATTAACTACTGCGCTCAACTAATGAGAGTGAGGCTGTTTTCCATTTTTCCTAATCTGTATGCTAAGCTAACTTAGTATACAGGAGGCTAGCAGCAATAGGAAGATATTATTGCCAGCAGTAGCTTATTATTCGGTCTACTCCCTTTATAGTTTACACGTTGCCACTTCAGTTTTTCCACCAGCTTAAAGCCCCCAGTATAACCTTGATTACATGATCCTTTTATGTGCGCGGTATTCTCCTGAACGATAGGTGTCGCAGGTGTCAGACAATACCTCCACATCAGTGCTGATATAGTGCTGTTCTTTTAGGTTTGTTTATTATCAGAAAGTTTATTCTTGTACCATCTCCCTCTCATCGATCTGTGACTGTCAGAGATTCTGTATTGATATGTCATTAAAACGGTGGTATAAACCTACACGATCGTAAACTTGCCTCTTCAACCCGGTGGCAGTGGAACAATGCGTCAGGTTACAAAAATAAAGAGTTGCAGAAATGGCTGCTTGCGACGGCAAATGTGACGTCAGTTTAATGTCAGTGTTGTCGTACAGTGCCATTTGACAAGCCACCGCATGGGTAATGTCCTAGGTCAGTGCCACGCCTGGCATAAACACTGATTTATTTATTTATTTATTTATTTATTTTTTAATGCGAAAACCACATATAGCCAGTTGAATAATGTATGATATTAGCCTACTGTTTCTGTTAGCTGTTGTTGTTAGCAATAGAGCTACGTACAAGCAGCTCTTGTTAGTATTTGTACCATTACATACGGTGTACTTGAGTGAAATGTCAGCTATTAAAAGTATGAATACCTTGTACTTCCTTCAGATCTCCAGTCATGTGAAGGCCATTGATGCCATTTATCAAGGCACAGACTTCATGGGCATTCGTAACATCAGTTTCATGGTGAAACGGATCCGGGTGAGTCTTTTGCAGATCGGCCGCTTTTGCATTTTAGGTCTGTTCACAGTCTTTCCTGTGAACCAGTTGTCTCCTGTCTTCGCAGATCAACACCACCAATGATGAGAGGGACAAGTCCAACCCATTCCGCTTTGCCAACATTGGTGTGGAGAAGTTTTTGGAGCTGAACTCGGAGCAGAACCACGACGACTACTGCTTGGCTTATGTTTTCACTGACAGAGATTTTGACGATGGGGTGCTGGGTTTGGCCTGGGTGGGAGCGCCCTCAGGTACGCAAATCTTATTCTTGTGATAAGCAAGCAGTCTGTGTCTTGTTTTTACAGAAAGGTACAAAAACATCATTTTTTTCACATTCCTTAGCAGGAATTTGTCCTCGCAAATGTAGACTGAAGCTCATCAAGCAGGAACATATTTTTCTTTAAAACTGTCGGCAGATATTTGTTGCAGTCTGTTTTAACTCTACACTGGGGTTGATTTGAGTTTTTAATTGAAAGCACTGCAGTTAAATTGCAAATTTGCTGCAGTAAAATGGGCATCTTCTCTCAGTAATGACAAACAAAATTTGTCTTCAGCATGTACTGTAAACATGATGATGAAGTATGTTTTTAAATAAGGCCTCCTGTCACTTATTTGAATAGCTGGTGTTAAATTAATCACATTCACTCTCTTCATTGAGCGAAAACTTTCCGTATTTAGTTTGTTGCAAATTGTGCCTTTCCTTCTCAGGGAGCTCTGGAGGCATCTGTGAAAAAAGCAAGCTGTACTCAGACGGAAAAAAGAAGTCTCTCAACACTGGTATAATCACTGTACAGAACTACGCCTCCCACGTACCTCCGAAAGTCTCCCATATCACTTTTGCACACGAAGTAGGCCACAACTTTGGCTCCCCGGTGAGTGCCGCATTTATGCACGGTGAGAAGGAATTTATGATGCCTGTACTCTTTGTCCCTTTTTTTTTGCTTTTAATCTTTGATTTTCTTTTTCTTCCTTGCTGCCAGCATGACTCTGGATCTGAGTGCACACCAGGGGAATCCAAAAGCCAAGACAAGAAGGAGAAGGGCAATTATATCATGTATGCAAGGGCTACATCTGGAGACAAGCTTAACAACAACAAGTTCTCCCTCTGCAGCATTCGCAACATCAGCCAGGTGCTGGAAAAAAAGAGGAACAACTGCTTCGTCGGTACGTTTTACTGTTTCTGTTGGATCTAGGGCCTCGATCTTAACTCGTGATCCGGGTTAGGGTTCTTCTGATGGTGTGGAATATTTTTACCGCAAACTCTTAATTAGTGAAAGAATTCAGGCATCCTGAGAAGTTATTGGCTAGTATCAGCTTAGAAAAGCCAGCTTGGCATTAGTCCATGGTATTTTTGTACAGTATTTGGCAGACTGTGGAAGTAAACCTTGTCATCTTTTTTCTTTGTCTTTTTTTTTTTTCTTGCCAGTTTCACACTTTTGAGTCAGTAGAACAGCAAACCGATGCTTCAGAAGTCACTCGATTAATTCACCATGTGATTGGCGTATCTAAAAAATCTTCTTGTTTTGCACAAGCTGTTCAAAGTGATGTGCATCTTGGCTGCACTGATATGACTGAAAAATGCTTTAGCTTTTCAGACACTGCCTTAATACACCCACCCACAAACCGACGTTTTTTTGGGTTTATGCTTTTGGCTCTTTGAAGGGTCCTTTTCTATTTTTCTTTTTCTTTTTTTGCCCCAGCAACTCATTCTCTCCAGAGCAGCATTCAAGGGTTTGGTGTGCATGCACGCTCAGAATGAGCCTTTGGGGGATGAGGGTCCACTACCGTCAGCATGATTTGTGTACACAGTGAAGGAAATTTTTGTGCATTTTTGTAATGGTTCAGGCCTTTACACAAAAAGCACTTTGCAGAAAAAAAAACCCCCATGAAATTTAAAATTTTTAAGAAGCAAACTTTTATTTTGTTAAAATTTTGCACACAAAAAAATGTCTCCTCAAAAAACACACTATGGGAGTCAAAACATGGAGTCGACATCAAGTGATGATCAAGCAATGACGAGTTGGTCCTGATGTTTGTAAATGTGAAAAGGAAGAATCTGAGTTCATCCAGTTCTCAGGAGAAGACAGCAGCAGGAAGAATTTCATGGTTTGACCCACGAGTTGAAGCTGCATCACAACCATTTTCCTACATGCCGTCAGTCGGGCAGTTTGAACTCTTGTTGGCAGAGTTGGGACCACATCTGATCGATTGACCCGGAGCAGCATCTAGTTGTGTGTCTAAGATAAAATAGTATTATTTTACTATTATATTATCATTGTATACTCAGTAGCGGTGCACATTTTGTGCTTCGATTACACTTGTTGCCAAATGCAGAGGTCTGATCCGGAAAAATAAATCCAGCAAATTTGTCCAGCAAGTTGCACAATCCTGTGTAAGGGTGCATTAGGAATGGGCGAGTCCAAAAATATTTTTAAAGCACAAAATGTTCGTACGATTATTATCCGTCTGGTGTAAAAACCTTAAAACAATCAAAAATCTCAATGTGTAAATGTAGAAAAAAACTGGGGGACAATTTTTCATTGTCACACCTGACTAGGAGAAGGCGGTTTTCTTCTACAGAGCATCAAAAAGTCTGTAATTCATAAAAACCCTGATATTATTTAATAAATGTCTAATTTAAACTTTGAGCTTGCTCCACAAAGGGCTCAACACTTTTTTCTTTTTTTTCAAAACAGAGTCTGGCCAGCCCATCTGTGGTAATGGTATGGTGGAGCCTGGTGAGCAGTGCGATTGTGGGTACAGCGATCAGTGCAAGGACAAGTGCTGCCATGATGCCAACCAGCCTGACAACAAGAAGTGCACATTAAAGGACCATACAGTCTGCAGGTAGAGGGCGATTTTTATTTTTCAGTTATTTTAATATCTCTTAAAGAGGGTGTTCTCATGTTTTGAGTCTTAACTCTGCGCTTTTCTCTTCCCCAAAAAGTCCCAGCCAGGGTCCTTGTTGTACAAGCGAATGCATTTACAAGGCTCGCGGTGACAAGTGCCGAGAGGAGTCGGAGTGCGCTCACCATGGCGTGTGTAAGGGCGACAGCGCCCAGTGCCCCACGTCGGAGCCCAAGGCCAACTTCACCGCCTGCCACGGAGAGACTCAAGTCTGCCTCAACGGGGTGAGTGGCTGAAGAAATCACACCTTGAAGAACTGGTTGTCATAGCAGCACTGTACTCATACTAGCAAGTGTCTGATCTCGCCTGTCCTCGTGCTCCTCCTCCGCAGGGCTGCTCCGGCTCCATCTGTGAGAAGTACGGGCTCGAGGCGTGTACCTGTGCCAGCCAAGATGGCAAGGATGAGACCGAGCTTTGCCACGTGTGCTGCATGGAGAAAAGTGAGTCATTTACCCTTTCTCACACCTTTTACAAGCAGGCTCTTTCTTTTATAAATATACGGGTGAGTTTTGTCTTTTTTTTTTTTCTTTTTTTTTAAAACTGGATTTGTCTCTCTGCACAGCAAATCCCAGCACATGCAGCAGCACAGGATCAGAGCGCCTGGCTCGTTTCTTCAATAAAAAAGTCACCACGTTGCCAGCTGGCTCGCCTTGCAATGACTTTAAGGGCTACTGCGATGTGTTCATGAAGTGCCGACTGGTGGACGCAGATGGGCCACTTGCCAGACTAAAGAAGGCCATCTTTAACCCTGAGCTGTATGAGAACATCGCCGAGTGGATTGTGGTACGTGTCGACATCTTGATTGTGAATGATTAGTTAGTATGTGGGGGGTCTTTTTCTATTCTGTATTTGATTGAGCTTGATTTGAGCTTCATTTTCATCCCAGGCTTACTGGTGGGCAGTGCTCTTGATGGGTATCGCCCTCATCTTGCTTATGGCTGGTTTCATTAAGATCTGTAGTGTGCATACTCCCAGCAGCAACCCCAAACTTCCACCACCCAAACCACTTCCAGGTGAGTCCAGAAGACTAAAAAGAGACCTCGTCTAATAAGAGCGTTTAGCTGTTACGCATTTTCATGAAAGATTTTTAGATAACTTACCTGACCACCCAGATGTTTTAAGTCACATGTCTGCAGTTTGCTTTCAAACCTCCTTTAAAATTGAATGTGACATTCAGTGTTTTTTGGGGGTGGGGGAGAGGGTTAAATATCATTTTTATTCAGGCAGGTCAAACCACCGAGAGAAAGCTCTCTTTTACGAGGACACTCTGATTACAGTAAATATGAAAGCTACTTTTAGCTCCTGCCTTTTTCATAACGGGTTGTCACAGCGGGTAGCTCCGCATGTTTGATTTGGCAGATTTTTACGTCGGATGCCCTCGCTGTGTCTCCTCCCGCGATCAAACTAGGGAGCTTTTGCTTGCTAAAAGAGTGTGTAAACCACTACACTACAGGGACACAAATGAATAAAAATACAGATATATTTTTAAAAACCTATTTATTATCAGGCTGTAAAGTAAAATTAATCATGCAGTTCATGTTATCATTTACGGGCTTATTAACAATTTATATGGGCAGTGCTGTGAGAACAGTTTCCTGAGAACACTTACAGATTTGATCTGAGCTCCTAAACTTGATCCAGATTAAACTCAGATTGAGCTTTGAATGTTCACACAGGCGAAAAAGCATCACATTAAATCCACTGTACTGTGTGCCTTGTTAACCTTGCAGTCATACCTGTGAATGAGAGCAGTGTTATGATTACTTACTCTTAGAGTTTCTCTACATGACTTTGGTTTTCTCACTGCATCCTGTGCTGTTGCGCCTAAGGGTGGTCATGGCAACCGATCTACTTGTTTAAATGTGAGAGAAGAAGAAAGTGTAGTTGAATATTCTAAAAGGCATATTCAAATTAAGCAGAGTGTAATGGGTAAGGTGATGTAACATCAGTACAAAATGTTTGCATGTATTTAAGAGCAGTTTAATGACATTTTCTTTGTTAAGAGTATTTTTGCAAGTTGCTGTTTTTTGGCATGTTGTACACACACGCTACACGTTGATAACATTAGCAGCCCAACTTTCCTAAAGTTGTTGACGTCTGCAGTCAGAATGGGGTTTTGCTCGGCTCCACTTGAGTGCTGATCTTCCAGCCTACGTGCAACCGTTTATTTTTCTAGATCAAAGGACCACAGATCGGTCCCTCTAGCTTGTTTACAATTAGCTTCTTTCTGCTGCAGCTACAGTTAGTGGCAGGTGGTTTCTTGAAGTCTTGGACAGCAACGCTAACCGCTGACGGTAAATAAAATAAATCGTAAGTCTGTCGGTATGAGCTAACAGAGAGAGTGTGTGTGGGTGTTCTGCCTCCGTATCTCCTGCTGTGTCCTACATGTGAGAAAGTCCAACTTTGGACAATGTCTTTACTTGATTGTTAAGAACAAGGGTTTTCAAACCTTTGATTACCAGGTGCGGGTTCAGGGTTGAAGCCTACAGAGGAAAAATGCAAACATCAAACACTTTGATTGCTTGTATCTTACACATATATAGGAAGTTTATGTTGGTTTTTGCCATTTTTGTACTCTTTCTATAGTATTTTCAGTCAGGCTCTAATAAACATTGTTTAACACTTTTATTAGACCACCTGCCATAAATACAAAAAAGCACAAATATTCAAAAAAAATCTGTCAAACTTTATGTTAAACACAGTCTATAAGCACGTCACGCAAGACTTCTGTTTGCTGATTTCTCCTCTGCTTTTAATGAGACTCTTTTTAAACTTTTAGATTAGCTCCTGATGCTGATTTTAAACTTTCTCACTGAAAGAGTCCAGCAGGTCCTCGTTAATGGACAAATATCCAGTAGGATTGTGTCAAGCTCCCGTTGACCTTGGGGCTGTGCTCTGTCACCCCTTCTTTTTATTACGTACGCCGACAGCTGCAGGACGCCGTACGAGAACAGGTTTATTTTTGTGTATCTTTTATTGTTTGTTTATTGAAAGTCTTTTAACATCTTCTTTTATCTGCTGGTTCAGTATTTTGCCTGTTAAGGATGGAAACCGTCAGTCATAATGTTAACGCCTCCAAAATCACTGGGGTCAGATTTGTGCTCACTCTGGGAAAATCAGGTGATAAAGAAGGCAAAAGACGTTGTTATACATTTTTATTTTTGGACCTCATTGTTGTCGATCGCTGCGTTGACATGCAACAGTGTTGGTGATAAGTGGTTGTGTGAGTAAGCTGCGAACAAATTACCCTTTTTGGGGGAATAATAAAGTTAATCTGAATCTAAAATCTCCTTCAAAATAAAAATGACTGAATTCACTGAATGTTTTTATATCTGAACTTGGACTTTTCTAAGAAGTCAGAAATTGGTCAAGTTTAACGTTCAGTACTGGTGGATTAAACATTACAGAAACATGAGAAAACTAATTAGGTAATTACTAATGCTGCTAATTTAGTACAGCCATGGCATAAACCTCACATTGGGGTCTGATTTAATAAATTCCTTCAGTACCGCGGGGTCATAAATGACATCACCCAGTAAGATGAATGCGATGCAAGGTAGGCCCGTTCACTTGCAGGGGTCACTCTTTGTCCGCTGTGAAAGAACAGCTGCTGATACTTTGTGATTATTTTTGAGTTTCCCTACATGAGAGATGACAGATGTGAGATAAACACGTCATCCTTCATCACACTGCAAGACCACCAGCTTAGGAACAAGTGCTGCAGCTGAACAAAACAAATCTAGGACGATACTCGTATTTCTTGAGCCTAAGTTAACTCTCTTTCCTCTGACAGGGACTTTGAAAAGACGACGAGCGCAGCAGCATGCTAGCTCTCAGGTGCAGCACCAGTCCCAGCACCCGCACGGCCACAGCGGACACGGGGGCCACGGCGGCCAGCGGCAGGCACAGAGGCAGCCTCAGCGCCAGGCACAGCCCCAGAGGCACCACCGTCAGCCCAGAGAGAACTATCAGATGGGCCAGATGAGACGCTGAGACCCTGCACCCAGCTCCCCCTGCTCCCCCCCCAATGCCTTGGCTCCTCCTTGTGCCTACAGAGGGAAACAAAAGCGTCACTCCATCCAAAGAAACGCCTGACATGGTTGTTAGTCATCATCATATCCTCCAACTACAGACAAAACA